TTATTGTTTATTGATCACAACAATAAATAAACAAATCTGCAGTGATCTGTAAATATGCAAATTATTGCAGCTTTTTTTGATCAAAATCTGCATTTTTGCAGTTCTTTGCAGATTTTTGTTAATTTGATCAAAAAAAACTGCAATGATCTGTATATTTGCAGATTATTACAGATCTGTTATCTCCTGAATTTCCTGATGTGGACAATAGTACAATCACACTGACGACAAGTTCAATTCAAAAATGTAGAACCAAAACCTAAAGAGGAATGGTCACCAGTCAGCACTCACAAAAGAGACATCAGTTATGTTAGTAGTGGAGACATGTCAACAAGAATTCTTAGAAGTGCAAAATTAATTAAAGATGTACAAGCATATGAAGAAGGAATTAGAGTTCAAATGAGAAAGTTTAACTGGGAAGATATCTGATGACTTGATGAAAAATTCCTACAAAAATGTAGATGGAATAGCTGATGATCTTTTAATTGGAAAGAACCAAATACAAAATGCTGGTGCCATAACCAATTATACATCCTGGACCAACAATATCATTAATGTTATAATGACTTAGCTGACTGAATTGCCATCAAAAGACATAAACCATATTATGCTAAATACAAAACTAGTAATGACTGGGCTGAAGAAGTAGAACAACTTTATTTGAAAACTCAACATCTTGATCAACACTTTGATACCCTTGGAGAAGCTTGACAAGCGATCAACCCAGCTTTCGAAATTATAAGATGTGAAATGTGTAGAAAATATGTCAAAGAATATTTTTCCAAATCATATCTTACTTCAGAAAATGTTTTCAAATTGGCTTGTGAACAATACCATGAAGAAAAGCAACTTAATCTTCCACCCTGCTCATACTGCGGAAATCGAGATGAACCCAGGAATAAAGATGGCGCAGAAAATATGTGACATTTATTTGTCACCTGTTGCAACACGTTGCAACTCCAAAATTTTATAAGCTGCAACTAGTTGCAACTAGATAATGCTTTATTTGTCACTACATTGCAACAGTTACCATGCCATCTTTAATTGAGCACATAAAAAGATATAATATTTTGAAAATCAAATAAAATAATAATAATACAAGATTTGAAATATATAAAAAATATGAGAAATAGAAAATGTTTGAAAAAGATTTTTGTTAAGAAAGATTTTTCTTTTCTGTTACAATATATTAAGTTAAAACTCAGACAATATCTTTATTTATATATTTTTTGAAAATATAAAAGTAAACTAAATAATTATATAAATATAGAAATTTAGATAAAAATGAAATAACTAATTATATAAAAGTGAAATAATATATATAAAAGTGAAAAATTAAAAAAGTAAAATAATGAAAAAGTAAAATAAAAGTGAAAAATTGAAAAAATGAAATAATGAAAAAGTAAAATAATATATATAAAAGTTAAAAATTAAAAAAGTGAAATAATAAAAAATTGAAATATATATAAAAATGAAAATTAAAAAAGTAAAATAATAAAAAAGTAAAATATATAAAAGTGAAAAGTTGAAAAAGTAAAATAATAAAAAGTAAAATAATATTAGATAATTTTACTATTATATAAATATTTTTAGAATTTTCATGTTTTTTAATTATTTTTGAAATTTGTGATTTTTATATCACTAATGTAACAATAAATTAAAAAAATACACTTATTATATATAATAAAAATAAGTAATTATACATTATTATTTGATCAAATTATTTTTTTTAAATCATTTTCTGAGAAAATAGATAGCTTATATTCAAGTTTACTTATTTTTTTTAAAAATATTTTTTGATAATTATCATATTTTCTCTCTTATATCTGTTTATATATACTTTTTTCTTTATCTTAACATATGTATATTCAAGTACTTTTAAATAATTTCTTGCTATATTAAAATAAAAAGTTGAAGATAATGCAAATCCAAGTTTTGACAAAATAATTTTATTTATCTATATTATTAATATTTGTGAGGTAATATCTTATTTATATTTTTGAATATATAATTTTACTTAAAAAAGAATATTCTTATTTTAGAAAAAGCTTTATATTTTAACATGATATTCTTAACAAGAATAAAGAATTTTATGAGTTATTATATACTTATATATTTAAGAATAAATATATTTAGCATAATATACTTCTTTTTCTACTGTGTTAATAATAATTTTGCTTGTTTTTATTTTTGAATAATTATATTTTACAAGTTGAAGTTAGAGATGAATATCATTTAAATATATTTAAATCTTACTATTTATATTTTTCTTTTTGATATCTAATATTAGATTTTTGTGAGCGGTTGAAAATTTATTATGCTAATTGCAATTCTTATTCTTATTATCTAATTATCTGTCAATATCATTATTTGCTTTTATTAGTCAATTTCTTTAGCAGATCTTTTGATATTTCAAAAAATATATAATGTAAGAATTTTTTTACTATTATTACCATAGTAATATAAATTTCCCTAATTTAATAATTTTTCTTTGATTATATAAAATTTTCTTTTTCTTAATTTTTACAATTTATCATTATTTTTATCCAATCGTATAATTATCTCATACTTATATTATTACTCTAAATCTTATATTTATATCCTAAATATTATATTTATTCCCTTTTTCTTATTTCTATATATTTTTATCATTCTAAATCTGAGATTACAATTTGATCACAAATATCCTATATTAATATTAATATTTAATATATATTTAGTAATACTGTATAGATTAATTAGTTAATATATTTATAGATTCCTTTTTTTATATTTTATTTCTTCTTGTATATTTTTATTACACAAAAATCTTGATTTCAAATCTTGAATTTAAAACCTTAATCTGAAAATCTTAATCTAAGATTACAAAATATATATATTAAATAATATTAATTAGTAATACTATAGTAATTTTTGTATTCGAAAAATGTATAAAAGAATCTGCTCTCTCAAATTGAAATAAATAGTTTTAGTTGACTTAACGATTAATCACAGATTGAATTATTTGGAAAATATAATTAAAAAAGCTTATTATTATAATAATAGTAATCTTTTGATTCCTTTTCTAATTATACTAGTACTCTTTCTCTCACTTGGTTTTATTCCTTTGACCATATAAAATTGATTTTGAATATTTATTATAATGTTATATTGATTTTGATTTGATATTTTTGACTTTAATATTTTGATTTATACTTTTTGATTTTCATATTTTTGATTTTTATATCCTTATGATATTAGTTTTATTTGAATTGTTATTTTTAATTTATACTTTTTAGTATTAGTATTTTACACTTTAGTTTAGTTTTTCCTTGATTAATAGTGACTTCACTTATTAATCATTATAAATCTTTTGATTTATTTTTATTCTTTTCCTTATATTTTTGTCTCTTTGTCAAATTACTTTTGTAATTTAGACCTTTGAACACACAATATCTGTAGATATTGGCACAGACCTTAGAAATCTTTGCTAATATTTATAATTCATTCTCTTTACTTAAGTTTAATCACCCCTCTCCCAACATCATATGCTTATAGTGATTCTCAGTGAAAACCACTATCCAGAATCGCTGTAATAGCATTACTAGTCTTCGTTGTTATACGATTACCATTACATGATTGCGTTACTAGTCTTTACATGATCATGTTATTTGTTCATTATGCGATTGTGCTACTAGTTTTTTCATTTGTTAATTGGGTTATTTCAGAGTTTTTAAAGAATAATCCTACAGCAAGAAACTGCAAATTTGCAATTGGATTATGCTGCTAGCAATCGTGATACTATATTTCATTTGTTACTCAACGTGCTATTAGTTTTTCACATTATACTATCACTAAATTAATTATCTATTTCTATTAGGCGCATGTCATCACATTGTTTTACTTGATATGAAAAAGCATTCAGACTCTAAATATGCCGCATTTGAATTTCGTACTAGAAAGATTTCTGTTGCTAACATTGAAAGTGAAATTCTTGATGAAATTCACAAGTTTCCTTTCTCTATTCAACAAATAATCGTCGATGAAGCCTGTGCTGTTGAAAAAAGGATAGAACATGGCAAAGTGGCACCTGGTTTAATATCACCTGATTGCTGTTGTCTGTTCTTTCGTAGATATCAGTTGCCGTGTCAACACATCTTCCATGAACATATGTATGGAGCCAGGAAATTATTAATAACTAGTGTTTGGGAGAATTTTCAGCGAATGTTTGAAGGGGCTGGATTTGAGATATATGGATATCGTGGATTAAAAGAGATGGTGACATCTAAAAAAACTCAAAGTGAGGGAATGACCAAAAATTGACAACGAACTGTAAATGAATTGATGGAAAGGACAAGAGATGCATATTGGCGAGTTGAAGAGGGGGGAAATATTGATCAAACAATTTTATTCATGGAAAAGTTGCAAGTTAGTTTGGAATCTGTTCTAAATTAATACATTAATATTTTTTTAAATTTTATTATTATTGCTTTATAAGTTTTATTATTAAAAATTCTATTGTAAATACAAAAAATATTAAGTGATTTAGTTTTATTTAAATATTTAATCATTTTTTTTATAATTACAATGATTAAATAATTCTATTGATTGTGCTAAAAATAATTGCTGATATTATCAAGTACAGTTATTCGAATCACAACATTCATTGTTTTTAGTAAATATCTGGATACAAATACTTACATATCATAATATACATAACTGTAATGAATGTGTCTTAATGTAATAGTGACTACGATAATGAACGTCTCTGTACGGGATTACGTGATTGTTTATATTTGATGAAGCGACAAATGAAAACATTTTCAAGAGGCACCAATAATAATAATATTTGTAGTAAACTGAGTCCAAATATTATATTCATTATTAAATTCAGATAGTGGATTTCAGATCTATTGATTGATATTGAAGAGAACGCGCTTTTTTTTGCGAGGTTACCAAATCAACCAAACAACAGACAAATCATTAAAAAATCTTATTTCTCCTATATCTACTCTTATAGTTAATCAATCATTCTTATCAAAACCCTCATACCACTGACTGGGACTGGCATCTACTTTACATGAAAATTTATCAGTGATATTAAGGAGAACTGACCAGGGAATATAACCATAGAAATCATCCATAATGACCGTTTCCTGATCATCATAGCTGTCGAACCATTTGCGACTGCGATCTTCCAGAATGCGTTAGGATATCAAGGTCTTACCAGTCCCACATTCTCCAACCAAGATAATCATGTTAGTCTTCCACTCTCTCTGATCAGCAAAGATTAATTACGTTCTGAAATATCCTATTATACCGCACCCAAAGTTCAAAATAATCATCAGATAAGTCACACTCTCTTTAATCTTATCATGAATAACAGACAGCGGTTTACCAAATCTCCAAGTTCCATCCATCCTGTCCTCCTCCTTCGTACAATAAATGATGTTTTGCTGAGAGTTCCCACGAGCTACCTCCTAATGAGTACCGGAAACATCATTCGCACTCAATTCAACCAAACTTGCGACAAAATTTCCACATATCCCTGCCAATGAAGCGTCTCCGATTCATCACCGCAAAACGAAAATAATTCCATCCAGTCAGATCAAAAACATCTGTAGGATTATTCAACGTCAGAGTTAAAAATACCACCAAAATCAAAATATAAAAAAGATCAAGCAATCTCACTATCTCTCGTTTTCAAGCCCATTCCTCGATTGTTAGTGAACAAGAGAGAAAATGAATTTAGTAGAATAACATTAGTAATGAAATGCATTTAGTTAATGAATAAAACAAGTAAAAAAAATACTTTTTTGTTCAACATTACGCTTATTATTACATAATTTCTGACTACCGAGAACATGCCACCAGCAGCATTACAAAAAAATAGCTCTTAGCCAAACTTTTGAGACATCACAAAGTAATTTTGTAGGTACGCATGAGTGTATGTAAAAAAAATTGTTTTGATATTGAATCATATATGTCATATATTACACACTCGGAAAATTGATCTCTGACTACAGCAGCAGATCGGAATACCAGCCACATTATCTCGTGTCAGATCACATGGATACAACACTTTAGCGCATCCCTAGGAAGAGTTGGTGTTCAATTATATGTTGATTTTGATAAATTAGGATATTTAATAGTTAAATTACTCATCTTCATAGTTCTTCTCTTTCAAGAGTATTAAGATCTGCTACAAAAATATCTTTAAATAATTGTTTGGTGATGAAAAATTCAGATATTGTATCTTATTCTTGAATCCAGTTGAGAAAATTGGCTAAGGATTCAGTTGCTATATCAGAAGGTGAAAAACAAATGTGACAATAATATTGTTAAGTTATTCAAAATATTATTTCTCAGTGTTGATTTTCTAGATGAGTATTGAGATATAAGATAGTAGGTTCTTCAATAAAGTTATTATAAAGAGAGTTTTAATTAAGAGTTGGAATATAAATATTCGCAAAGGATGTTGTAAAAAAAGGATTTGTTTTTGGTGATTGGTTTTTAGTAAAGTAAGAGAGTTAATTAAATGGTAATAGAAGGAAAAAGAGAGTTTGATAATTTGAGAATTTCACAGAGTGTGTACCAAAATATGCTACAGTTACTTTAAATGAAGGGTTTCTTCACTATTAATAAAAGAATCATATGACTTAGGAGAAAGAAATAGACTAATAAAATTGATCAGTGTAAAAATAAGTATCTAAGCCTATGCCAATTTCGATAGAAATTGTTAAAAAATTCTATCAAGAATGAAAAGAGGTGTTGGGAGAGTGTGTTCAGAGAGATAATTAATAAAAAAGATTATTAATTAAGAAAAAGAATATTAATATTTCTATACTTATAGTCATATGTTCTAGTGCTTTCAATACAAAAGAAAATGAATAACTAAAAGAAATATCACTTATTTAGAGTTATAGTGCATAACTATACAAACTAATATCACTTATTTAAAGTTATAGTGCACAACTATACAAATCAATATTACTTATTTAAAGTTATGATATACAACTATATCAAAAATAATACTACAGCAAATCAATATACTTATCCAAAAATACTTAACCATCTTTTCCAATTTAAAAATAAAAATAATAATTAGAAATTCAATTCTATACAAATTAATATTCAGTTTCTTGATCTCGTTCAAGATTTACAAAAAAACTTGAATTACAAGATTTGAAGTTCAATTAACAAATTATTTTTGCCAGACAACTTGTTTTGATGGAAGAAGATACAAGGATAAATATTAATTTTATAACAATAAGATGATTATTAATTTATTGTATCAAGATTAAAATTTATTAATTTATTTAAGTATTGAAATATGAGATTGAAACATGGGAGAGCACTCCTATTTATACAAAATTTCTCAATATATTTTAGTTCTATCTATATTATAAAATTATAAAAAGATATATATAAAAAGTAGAAAAAGTAAATAGAAAAAGGTAGAAAAGGTAAAAAGTAAGGATAGTAAAGGTAGAAAAGGTAAATAATAAAAATAGAAAAGGTAAAAAAGATAAATAATAAAGATAAAAAAGATAGAAAAGGTAAATAACAGAGATGAAAAAGGTAGAAAAGATAAATAATAAAAGTAGAAAAGATAGAAAAGTAATTAATAAAGATATAAAAGATATAAAAGGTAGATAAATAAGATATAAAAGGTAAAAAGGTAGATAAAGAAGGTAGAAAAGATATATAAAAGATAGAAAAGATAGATAATAAGAGTAGAAAAGATAAATAATAATAATAATTATTTGATTGTTAAATAATTGATATGTATATACTATTTTTATCAATTTGTTGTTTGTTATTATTTTTGAAGATTTTTCTATTTTCTAGTATTTTTGAAAGATTCGTTAATTACAGAATTATTGAAAATAAATATAATAGTATTATGATGCACTACCTAAAATGATGCATTACTAATAATTAACTATTAGTAATGCATCATAATTTAAATCATGTCATAATATCTATATCTAATTATATATTAATAACAAAATATATATTTTAATAATATAATTTAAAATTTATATATATAATAATAATTAAAAAAATATAACAAAATAATTTATTAATAAAATATAACAAAAATATAAAAAATATAAATTTTTTCTTTATATAAAAATAACTTTATCAGATTAAATTTAAAAATTTGAAAAAAATAAATAATATATAATTTATTACTTGATATAAAATTTGTTGAATTAAATTTCTTGCTAAAAGTATATAATAAATATTTAATATATAATGACTTTTTTATAATATATTTAAAAAATATATTACTAAAAATTTAATAAGTTTAATTAGTTTTTAATATAGAAAATATACTATAAAAAATTATTATATAAATAATTTTTTATAAAATATTTATTAATTTAACAATAGATTTTTTTATTAATATAATATAAATATTTACTATTAAACTTGTAAATATATAATTAAATAAAATAACTAAATTTATTATCTAAGAATTTTATTAAGTTATTAAACTAATTATTATATTTTATTTTTTATAGTAATAAAATCAATTATATATTAATAAAGTATAATAAATATTAATTATAAATAATTAATAATAATAAATTATAATTAAATCTAATAAAAAATCATAAAAAATCATAAATTATAATAAAATATAAAAAATATATTTTAATTTTGATTATTTAAAAGTTAATATATACTTTTTTTAAAAAATTCTATATTAATAAAATTGAATTATTTGATTTTTAATTATATAATTCAAAAATTTTTTGATTATACTTTAATTTATAAATAAATAATATTTATATATAATTATAAATATGTCTAGACTAAGTTTATATTAAAAATAATTGATATTATAATCAAAATTAATGTAAATTTATTAGATATATCTAATACCTTTATTAACAAAATCTACTTGGAATAAGTTATCAATATTATTAATCCTATAAATTAAAATATTGTTTAATAATACAATCAAGTTTCTTTATAATTATATCTGCTTATAATTATATCTCTATAATCATTATATTTTGCTTTCTCATTTTATAACATAATAAATAAAACTTCTCTATAATCATAATCTTTCTATAATCACAATCTCTCTATAATTATCCAATTTTGCTTTTTCAAGAATGATAACTATAGAGAGATTTGATTATAAATGAAATATTAAATAATATTAGCACATAAAAAACATACCGGCATATAAATTTAAATATTTGAATTTATCACACTTCATTGAATTCCAGTTAATCTTCTCCATTAATTGCATTGACATATCTTTTAAATTCTTTGAAAGTTTCATGTCAACTTTCTTTTTTTCTATAAATCAACAAATAAAACTTGTAAATTTATCAAATAAATTTAAAGATAAAATAAAATAAATTTATCTGATAACTGAAACAATATTAATAGCAAATATAATATAATCTTTTTTCAAACTTACAAATCAATCTACGGTTGTCGTCATTGTTGACGCAAAGCAAAGGGTTGGGACTATTTTTTTTGTCCATTGTCATGTTAACCCGTTTCCCAAGTTTCGCTTTTTGGCATATCGTAGAATTTTCTTACGTCGGTTCCACTTGGATATCTTCGAGATGGCTGGTTAAAGATTTTGGCATTTTTTACTGTGACACAATGGCCTCTTCTTTTCGGATTTACTAATCCCCCAGGTTTCCTATTGGTCGCGTCATATTGTATATGTAATCAACTATCCCAAGGACAGAAAATTTCTACTGTAATATTATGGTAGCAGAGTTAGGGTTAAAATGGAAATCAAGTTATGTGTAAAATTGCCTCGCCGACATTTTTTATTAGTGCACCAAGGTGGATTTTATATTACGTGTTCAATTTCATCCAATTTGCGATTTGATTGGTGTATGATTTAAGGGATCAGAGATCACGGGATCTGGAAATTTTTTTGCCGGAATGTTGATAAATTTGTCATCTGACTGACAGTAACATTTTTCTGATGACTTCAGGTTATTTTCGACGGAGGAGATGATGATGATTTGAAAGGGTAATCAAGAATGAAGTAAACGCGTTAAAAGATGTGGACGCGGGAGAAATTATGCTCATAAAACACAGCGAGGACGTGGACCTGGAGCCCGATGTTGAAGTAGACCAGAGCCTTGTAAATACGGCCAAAACACCGCTACAAGTGTTCGTCCGTGGTAAGTAATGAATATACGACGCGGCATTTGATCTAAGTGTGATCATGATAAATTTAGTTAACGCAATGAACGCGATACTGCTAGCCGTTGTTTGTGCTTTTCTTTCTTGCTTCTTATCGTTATATACCACCCAAAAAAACAAATTCACGTTGTCGTTGAAAAACCAGCGTCACAGAATCAAGAGGTAGAGGGATTGAGAAAGATGCTGACGGCACTTCAGATGAATCTTGTTTATCGTAGGTGTCCTATCTTATCCTGGACCACCCTATTAAGTGAGCACCCAACTCATTTACTTTCAGGCTCATGCCTTCACTCTCTGAGGTGGATAGTAACACGCAAAAATGGAAAAGCGCGAGAAAGGCTACCTTTTTATCTTTTCAAGGTACCAAAGTGCTCACTCCATTTTTTCTTTATCACAGAATACAAGAACACTATTAATCTTGGCCTTGAAACGAATGATCCCTCGCCTAGTGTCAGGCCTGCTAGATTCTTCCAAGCCCAAAGAACGAATCCAATTCTTAATGGTCGACCGCTTAATAACAATGGTCCTCTATTACTCTTTACAATAGCATCTTTCGTCAATTTCTTGAAAATTTTGGAATGCGAATCTAAAAATACCTTCTGACATTTCGGTGGGTCGTAGATATTATTTCTGCAGCAACAGATAGCTATGACAATGAAGATGAGCGTATGATTAAAACGAGAGATGTATTGTCAAAAAAATTAGGCACCATATCGGTGATTGAGTACGGGATAAATAATTGCAAGGACAATGGGGTGATCACGGCAAAAGCAGGTATCTACACCACTTATGTGGTATTATTGGAAGGAAAAAGTGAGATTGGATCGGATAACGCTGATCCCAGCATTCAAGGAGCAATGTATTACTGAGATTATTGGTCTCAGCCATCTGTATGTTTAATTTTAACCCTTTAATTAGTACTGTGCAAATTCATATACTTATGTGGCAATTGATACCTTCCATTCAGGTTGACAAAATTCAAGAATGCTGTTACGCTCCATCTTTCATTGTTGCTATTGCCGGTCCGTGGGTTTGTGTTCTCGGCGCTGTCTTCCTTAGCAGGGTAATGGTCCAGCTAATGACAGACTCCATTCCACTTACGGTCAACCTACGAAATAATAATCAAGTAAAACGGATTGCTCGTCTTTTTAAAGCATTACGAATTGCTTTTATACATCTCAGCAACTTTTACAATAATTTGGACTTAACTTCATCGAATCAGCCGTATTTTCCTATCTTCGACATTTTCATTATAAAAACAATATCACTAAGTTTATCTATGGAAAGCTAAGGCAACAAATAATGATATGATTGTTGTGAAATTTGTGATCGAATACAAGTTTAATGCACATCAAATCTGCATGAATGAGGGTCTTGCCTCTACCACAGTTCCAAAAATAAATGGAAAACTCTTGGAGAATTTGGGATGATTATCATGGATATTGTTACCATATTTCGTAATTCAATCATTTTTATGATGATATGGATTATGGTGTATCATAATTTCACCCAATGATATTCATATTAATTTGATACTTTTTGATGTTATACAAGCAAGTTTTGTACATGTACATGTATTTATTTGATATTACTCAAATTTGACATTACACAATCATATTTTCATGAATATTACTTCTCTTTTGATTGATAATTAAATTAATTAATGAATTACATTTATCTTTACTTTCGTCTTATTCTTTACTTTTCTTTGTATTTTTTTCTCTTATTGCTATTGGTATATCTTATCTCCAACAAAAATATTCTTAATTTGAATTTCATTATTTTTAACCAATTATATTTTATTTCTTATTTGTATCTTTATTCTCATTATTATTATTATTTTTATTTTTAATATTGTCATTATGATTTATTTAAATTTTCTTTAGAATTTTTCTTTTATTAATTTTTGATCTTTGTTCTCTTTTAGTATTATTTAGTATTATTTATAAATAGTAATATAATTTATAATTATTATTAATCATATAAATTAAAATAACTATTGAAAATATATTAAAGAAAAATCTCTCATTGTTAGAAACTCTTATGCATTGATCTAATAAAAATAACAAAGTTTTTACTTGTAATATTATACTTGTAAATATATTAATATTTTCTTGATTTTCAAATCTTGACTTCAAGTAGTGGATGCTTCTCCACTTTAAATAAGTTATTAACTTTAATATTTTTGTTTATTTTTGTTTTATTATTTTTAGATTATATTAATAAGTCCTGTTATTTTATTTCTTTATTAATAATCTCAATAAGTTCAATTATTTTTTTATTTTGTTAGGCAATCTCAATAAATTTTGTTATTTTTTTAATAATTATTCTATTTTATTTTAATTTATTATATTCTTTTCTTTATTTTTCTTTTTGTTTCTATATTTATTTTTGATAGTTCAATATATAAAGATTTAAATTAGAAAATGACAAGAACAAATAAAACAAAGTTAGTTTGTATACAAATTATTATAAAAATCTTTAAAATCTTTAAAATCTTTATTAAATCCTATTAATTATAAATTATTCAGTCTTTGTTCTTTCATTATTATATTATTTCATTAATTTATTAATTATAACAATTTCTAAAAAAACATTTTAATACTCTCTCTATGAAATTTAATTTTCATATAAATATTATATAATTTTTTTCTTTCATGTAATTTTATTGAACAACCTGTTGATATTCATTTTCACAATTATAAATTTAAACAAAAAAGATAACTTCTTCTTAAAATAGTATCTAAATATTATTATTATTTGTATTTTTCTTCTTCTAATAATATACATTTTGAATTAGAAAATTTTGTTAACTGGATACAAGAAAGAGAAACAATTACTGAATCACATATTATTAAAATAATATTTGAAAATATTTTTAATACACATTTCAATTTATTACTAGAAAAATTTTGAAAAAGAATTATTTAACTACTAAATACTTTTTTACATCAAAATATATATAATATTCAAGATTAACTATAACTAATTTATAATATCAGTATATTAATAATTAAACATATAAAGAAAAATCAAATTTTTCTGATAATTACTTTTTAAAAACAATTGAAAAAACAAGAATTCTTTAAATAATCAACAACAAGAAGAAAAAATTGTTATTAAATAATCATAATTACTTATTTCAAATTATAACTTTATATTTAAATTATATTTATCTAAATTATTGTTATAGCGATTCTGGATAGTGGGTTTCACTGAGAATTACTATAAGCATAAGATGTTGGAAGAGGGGTGATTAAACTTAAGTAAAGAGAATGAATTATAAATATTAGCAAAGGTTTCTAAGGTCTGTGCCAATATCTACGGATATTGTGTGTTCAAAGGTCTAAATTACAAAAGTAATTTGAAAAAGGGGCAAAAATATA